CCCCCCCCCCCCCCCCCCTTCCGCTTTCTAGCACACTGGTGCGAGTTTTGTCAAAAAAAAAAGAAAAAAAAAGAAAAGAAAAGGGTGCTCGGTCACTCGTTCAAGTGCGCGAGAGGGCAGTAGCTGACATACATACCTTCACTTTGACTCCCACATACTTCTCAACCCGTGCCGCTTCTTCCCCTTCTGTAGGCTCGTCATCATCATCGTCATCATCGGGTGCTTCTTCAGCCTGCAACCAGTGGCAGGCGATGTTATTGCATAATAATGACTGTGAATCATTTCACAAACAGTATTGTTTGTTTTGTTTGCTTTCTCTTTGAAAACAGCCGGCTGAAGCCACAATTGATCATTTGCACAACAGTATATAAGTAGGTAGTTATTTTGCAACACAATCATTTCACAGCAGGTCTGTGCACACAAACTCCACAAGTCATAGCAGCAAGGATAAGCGGAAACCTGTGGGAGCGCACCTGGTTTCTTAGAAATGTCTATGATCGCCCCCCCCGAATAGAATGTATGGCCATTATCGCTGAATGTAAGACTGAAGGTGGCTCAAATGCAGCCATAAATGACCACAGGACGTATGTTCCTTTTGGGCGAAGATGGTAGTGTTTTGGAGCTGCACTTTGACTGAGGCCCGTATGTATAAGCATCGGCAGGTACCACCAACGAGCCTGGTAGCTCAGTTGGTACCCCCACGAACTGTTGAAATACAGACCCGAGTTCAGATCCAGACGCAATCAGATGAACAGAAAAAAAAAAAAAGAAGGTACCAACGGGCCTAGCTCAGTTGGTACCCCCCCATGAACTGTTGAAATATGAATCAGACCCAAGCTAGAATCCAGATGCAATTAGATGAACAGGAGGGGGGGAAAGTCCCGCCATGAAACGCCGCGGCCGATTTACCTTGCCCCAGTCCCGCGCGCCTCCACACCGGGCGGGCGTGGGGGAAATTCGGTGTGGCGGTTCCACGCGACACGCCCCGCTCTGCAGTGTCAGGAGGACACAAAGTCCCGTTCCCCGCTGCCACGGTTTTTCTTTCAACCCCCCCATTCAGTTCTGTTTCCCGCCAGTCAGTGGTGCCGTGCAGGGGCCGCGTCGATATGGAAAAGGGTGGCGATGGAAAGATGTGATGGAGGAGAGGGACGATCAACGCAGGAGGAGGGAGGAGGAAAAGGGAGAAAGACATTTGGGGGATGTGGCACGTGTGCGCTCAGAGCAGGAAGGGTGGGAGAAAGAGGGAGGATGAAGAGGGAGAAGCATGTTTGGGCCTATCGAAAGAAAGGAGGCAGCATGAGGAGCAGCGAGGACGAGGAGTAACAACGAAAAAGAGGAGCGAGGGGACGATGAGAATGGAACAAAAGGAGAAAGCGGGACAAAAAGGAGTAGGACGATAAGCATGGCAGACAACAAGAATTCATGGAGGAGGGGAGAGGATGTAGGGAGGAGGTTGCCAGGGGGAGGAGGACATCACGCAAGGGGGAGGAGAAGGTCGGAACGAGGGGGATGAGGAGGTCGCACAAGGAGGAAAGGAGGAGGTCGGAACGAGGGGGATGAGGAGGTCGCACAAGGAGGAGGAGGTTGTGCGAGGGGGAAGCGGACGTCGCGACAAGGAGGAGGAGGTCATGCGAGGGGGAAGCAGACATCGCGACAAGGAGGAGGAGGAGGTTGTGTGAGGGGGATGAGGAGGTGGGTGGA